GTGAGGAGGAGGGGAGGGAAGGGCGAGGAGGAGGTAGCAGGGGGCAGTGGGAGGGGACCGGAACTCGGCGATGTGATAGAGAGCAGCGGCGCAGTCAGAGGAGACGCTCATGTCGTGGGGGGGAGTTACCCACTTGAGCCCATACTGGATGTTTGACATGATCTGCAAGAAGACCTGCAAGGCCTCACAAACTCATCGGGCAGGTCGCGGGACCTACGGGCGTCTCGAGGAGGCAGAGGTACGTCGTGTGATTGTGGCACAGGATCTCCTGTAAGGGGAAGTAGCCGCGCATGACCTAGTGGAGGCATCAGGAAGACGAGGACGAGGACGAGGACGAGGACGAGGAGGAAAAGTACGAAGAGGAGGAATGGGAGGAATGGGAGGAGGAGGAGGAGGAGGAGGAGGAGGAGGAGGTACCTTGGAGTAAGCCATCAGGTCCTGCATGGGGATGCTGAGCGACAGCTGGAGGACGATGTTAAGGGCGTTGTTGAGAGCTGAATCTCCGTAGAGCTGGAAGACTCCGAAATTTACATAACCACCCGAGAGCAGGCGATTCAAGATCATCAGGCAGATGGAGATTCCCTTGTACTTATCCTTGTAGGTCGGGGGAACTCCGTTGAGGATCCTCTGGCCGTAGGCGAACAGGACGTTGCTGGCTTCTCGGAACAAGAGGATCCCGTTGGGGCTCGAGCACTCGAAGGCGATCCGTTGACATTTGTTATGTACAAGTTCGCTCACAAACTTCAGCAGGGGGGTCGTCACAGCGCTGTCGTTCCACCAGAGCTCCACCGAGTTGATCAGCATCGGCAGGTAGTCCGGGTAGATCCAGTCGAAGAAGGCAACGTACGTCCTCCTGTTTGACGTCCCGAAGCAGATTCCCCGCAAGTCCCGCAGCACTCCGATCAGCAGACTCTTTGCTTCCTCCCGGGCAGCTCCTGGACCTGTGCTGGAGACATGGCTGAAGAAGGCCTGCAAAGAGAGAGAGAGCACGGGATCAGGGACGAGAGAACAACAAAGGGAGCAAAAACAAAGTCAAATTTGACCTGCAGATGCTGCAGGATGGGGACGAAAGGCGCCATGAACTGTTCGAAGTCCATGAGACATGTGTCTTCCATCAAGAGGATCCGCGTCAGAGTGACGTAGAACTGCGTCCTGTGCCTTGGGTTCCCAGACTTTGTGAGGAAGGGGAACTGGGCGGGCCCGTGGTTGCGGAGCGCAAAGGTGATCACGTCGAGTTTAGCCAAGGTCTTGCTGGAGTTGTAGCCCGAGGCGAGCTCGTGGAAGAGCACGAGCGACTTGTCGACTATCTCTTCATGATTGCTCCACATCTTGAGGTTCTGCATCGTCTTATTGACGATGACGTTCATCACCATCACACTGTCCGAGAGCCCCACAAGCTCGTTGAGCCGCAGGTACAAGTTGGTCGAGGCCAGGTTGGCCTGCTCTCCGATGTAGGCCTTGCGGAAGTACTGGAAGAAGTAGAGGAGGGAGAGCTCCAGACGTTCTAAGGTAGAGGAGGAGCCACCCGCTTGCATGGGCTGTCGCATCTCAATCCATTGGATCGTCTTGAACACTCTTGCACAAAGGTCGCCGTCCAGCAGCTCCTGCTCGTCCGAGGAACGGCTCGTCCCTCGAGCTCCCACCACCGCACCCACGAAGTACACGAGCCACGACAGCTCGCCTTCCACCATTTGAACCTCCGCGTTGGCCATGCCGGAGACTTGACTTTGACCGGCAAGGGCCTGCAGCTTGTTGACGAGAGGATCGAAGAGGCTGATGAGGAACTCGGCTGCCCGCTCGTACTGGTAGCGACAGAGCGGCGAGGCAGAGTCCAGCTGGTCCACCAGCAGCTCCTCGTTCTCCATGGGGTCTTCGTTGGGATTCGACTGCAAGGAAGCTCTGGCGGACTGAAGCTTCGACAAGATGTACGTCTGTGTGATCTCCGGCACGTACCTGTCAAGGTGAGACTCCCCTTCACCCTTCAAGTAAGCCACCGAGGTGACCATTCGGGACCACAACTGGAGCAGGTAGTAGACGCTGTTTGACGCGTAAGGGCAGTTGCGAATACTTTGAATCGTGAACTGAGCAACGGCAGCGATCAGCTCCGAGTAGATCTCACACTTGATGAGTTCAGCAAGCTGGAAGTTGCTCTTCAGCCTAGACAAGAGCCTGCAGAACTCGTGGAAGTTTTCTTCTTCCCCCAACCTCTGCTGCTCTCTCAAGATCGTGATGATCGCCGTCAGAACTCTTTGGAGGAAGTTGTGGCGAGTCTCTTGGTTTGGGAAGAGTGATCTCCTCACCGAGGAGAGCTGGGAAAGGCACTCCATGGCCATGGCTGAATGCGGCGCGGCACTTGTGCTGTATGCTTGCAAGAGAGTTGCCAAGGTGTTGTCATCCTCTATCAAGGATCGCCAGTGAGTCGGGACTTGGACACTCCCAATGTCCTCAGTGGAGTCGTCACTTGAGGTACCAAAGAAGTCGTAGGAGAGACACGCCAGACTGAGTTTGAGGCTTTGCTCCCTCAACTTTGAATCTTGTTCGGGGGTGATCTGACCGGTCGAGCCTGACAACAGCCTGCTGAGAGTCTGCAGGGCAATCTGAAGGACTTGAAGCAAACTCTTGTCTCTGTAGGATATCGACTTCTTGCGATGGACGGCGAGAGGGAGATTCGTCTTGTTCGCATTCATCTCCAACGTCAGCTCGTTCAGAATCTGATGCATTTCGTTCATCAGAAACACGCCGATGAAGCACATTCAAATCTTTCACACCTCGAGGCCGATTATGCAGTGATCCACGGAGGCTGACAGGAACCTGCGGGGGTTGTCAAGAGCTAGACTCACGCACAGCAAGCATACTGGGAGACTTCCTCCGTCACGTCATGTCCAGGATTCTGAAACCATCCCAACTTTGTGATCCGAGCCAGCAGGTTGACCAGAGCTGCCACAACGAAGCCCTGCAGTGAAGGCCCCTTGTTCGCTAGGAAGGAGAATACCTGCAACTTGAGGTGAGGGGAGCAGACGGTTCAAACTAAGGCCTGATATCACGTAGCTCCGAATGTCTGTCTTCTGCTGCGATGAAAATCTCCCCCAATGTATCGTGAGCAATTTTGACATGGATGTGGCCGCAAAGTGCTGCCATCAGACGTGAGGAGATTAGGTGAGAACAAAGGAAATACCTGTGCATAAGGCTGCTGTGAGGTCTCAAGGATCATGCGAGCTGTGGAGAAGTGAGATCGAGCAAGGGTACAGCTGGGAGAGATCACCCTGGTCCAGCATCTCGGGGTTTGAGCTCAGCACACTTAACTTCCTCTCCGCATCGGCTCGCTGATGAACCCAACATCAGTCACCCTCACCACATTGAGACTCATACTGCTGAATGCCTACTAAATTCTAGAGAAGAGTCCTACCTGCTCATTGCTCGATGAATTTCCATACAACTGCTCGGCTAGGAGCTCGACTTCTGGTATCATGTTTGCCAACAACAATGACCTTCTTGCGTGTCTTGACCGGAGCTTACATGCAACTCATGCCAATGTTGACTGGTAGCCCCATCAGGGCTGACCTGCCAAATCAATTGCAACGTGAGAGAATAAAGACAGGATTCAGAGGGAACACACGATACTCGAGCACAGAGCGAGCGAGGGGGGGGGAAGAGAGAAGGGCTGAAGCAAAGGAAGAAGACAGCAACATCAGAAAATTATGACCATGCAGGCCTCTTGAGATCATAGGATCAAGTGCAACACACCCTGAAATTAACTTGAATTGTCTTTCTATTCCATTCTATTCTTTATCTCAGGCTAAACTCTTCTCTGATACCTCTATCCCCCTCCATGTAGCTTCCCTGTATCCTACTGAACTTTTCGTTGTGCCCTGCTCAACCCTCTTGTTGCGTCTCTCAATGTCCTTCACTTTCTCATTTCTTTTATCATCATCAAATCATTGAACATATCTTATTTCTCATTTCTCTATCGTTGTCTTGTCAATTTTTCTTCCTATCCCCATCTTTGTCTTTCTTTTGTTCCTCCCGAAGCTTCGTCTGTCCATATGCTGATCCTGTTCCTGTTCCTGCTCCTGATCCCTATATCTTGCATCGTCAAATTATTCATCTGCATTTCCTTCTTCAATTATTTTCTCACAATTTTATATTTGTCATCCTAATCCTAATCCTCAATCAAAGTAGAATTCAAAATAATCCTCGAACTTCCTCCCCTTCATAACGTCAGTCAAGCTCATCATCACAACATTCTTTAGCATCTTTGTATTCATCAACATCTTCTTCTTCTTCTTCTTCTTCCTTTCTACTTCTACTTCTTCTACTTCTACTCTTCTTCACTCCATTTCAATTTACATCGTCTCATCTCTGAGTTGTCCCTCGCTCCCAACTACCCTACCCCTTTGTCTAAAGGCAAAGGTGGGGGTGGGTGATTTCAAGTCCCCCTCGGAACTGCTGTGGACAACTAATGATCTGAACAAATTTCCATAATATTTAATTGCTGTCCCGTAATTTTTCTTGTACAGAAAATGAGGCGGGCTGTATAAAGGGCTCCTGGACAGGGTAGGAGGACTCTCTCTGTCCTCAGTATTCCGGTTGAAATGTTCTGAGGCGGACTTGTTTAATATTGGTCATCCTGGTAATAAATACACGTGTCCTTTTGAATCATGGCGGGAACGGGGAGACGGATTTGAATGGGGAGGAGGGAGAGGAGAAGAGGGAGAGGAGAGGAGAGGAGAGGAGAGGAGGAGGGAGGACAGGACAGGACAGGACAGGACAGGACAGGACAGGACAGGACAGGACAGGACAGGAGCAAGATCATAGGAAATGAAGCTAAGGCTGGGCAGGAAAATGAAACATTGCTAAGTGAGTGACATGTACGATAAGATGAGGGAGTATGACGGGGGGGAGGCTGAAGTAGAATTAGCTGCTGAACAGTCTGTAACGACGGGCTTTCACTTCTCCACTATGCCATGCTAACATGATTTTAAAAAGAATGGCGACTGTCGATGTGAAGGTGAAGTGGGGAAAGGAGAAGTTCGACGTTCAGATCATGTTGGATGAGCCAGCTGAAGTCTTCAAGGCTCAGGTGCTGTCTTCTCTCCGATGTTCTCCCCGCATGCTCTTCGTTTGACCATGACGGCTGTGCGCAGCTGTTTGCGCTCACAGGAGTTCCCCCTGACCGGCAGAAGATCACTGCGGGGACCAAGAAGATCAACGATGACACTGACCTCAAGTCGTTGAACCTCAAGGACAAGCAGGTTGACTCTCCCTCCGTTTCTCCTGCCTTGACTTGTCCTGACGTTGGTCCAAGATGCTCATGCTGTTTGGAACTGCCGACGAGATTCTGCAAGCTCCGACAGAGAAACCGATCTTTGTACGAGAGAGCTCTGCCATGCTGTTTGCAGTGATGTTGTGCTCAGGTCGAAGACTTGGCACCGTCGGATATGGCAGGGCTGATGGCTGCTGGTGTTCCCTTTGGCCTTGAGAACCTTGGAAATACCTGCTACATGAACTCCTGCCTCCAGGTATCTTGAGGTTGAGGGAGCCTCCTGGGTTGACTTCAAGATCAGGTTGTCAACAACGTCAACGAGCTGGTTGAGAGCTTGTCGAACTCTCCAGCAGGTTTCTTCAGTTCGAAACATCTCGGAAATACACTGAGATTTCTGTCTGAACAGAATCGACCCAGCATTCCGATCCTTACAACGGCCTGGTTGTTGCGTCGAAGAACTTGTTCAAGCGGATGCAGTCGGCTACTGAACCGATTGCTCCTGGAAATCTGTTGATGCAGGTGGCCCGACGTTGATTTTGATTTTCGTCCTTGAGACCCTCCAACAGCTGCGTCTGAACTTCCCACAATTCGATGAGAGGGGAGAGGGCGGGATGCACATGCAACAAGATGCAGAGGAGTGTTTGTCACAGTTGCTGCAAGTCTACACGCAGAAGGTACCTAGTTGATGCGATTGCGACCTTGCTGATAGATTGGTGGTGGTAGATCAAGACTGCCGAGGGAAAGAGCTTCATTGAGGACCTCTTTGGCGTCGAGTTGGATGTTGAGGTCAAGTGCGCGGAAGGAGATGAGCCGGTCTGTGAGAGGCCTTGTGACAACATCAGTGCGTTGATGTGGCTGCCCCTCAGGCCGTGACGGAGAAAGAGAAGCAACTGAAGATCTCCTGTCACATCCAGGGGCCGGTACTTCTCCTTGCAGAGCGAGTGGGGCTCTTCTGAGGAGACCGCAGACTCCCCAACCGGATGGAAGCAGCAAAGGTGGCACTGACTTCGTGACTCAGAGCATCTCTCTGGTGATGTTTTGTGTCTCTTGTCTCTCCTTGTGCTGAGACTTCTGACCTCCTGTCAGGGCCTTGAGTCTTCACTGGAAAAGAACTCTCCTTCCCTCGGAAGGACCGCTCTCTACAAGAAGACTTCCAAGATCTCCCGGTTTGCAGCGTCTCCATGATCTTGTGTTGTCTGACCAGAGTCTGCCTCAGCTTGCCAAAGTATCTGCTGCTTCACTTCGTGAGGTTCCAGTGGAGGCAAGACACCGGGAAGAAGGCCAAGATCCTCCGCGCGGTTAAGTTTCCGTTCCTGTTGGACATGAGGGACTTCTGCACCGACGAGTACAAGTCGAGGATAGACAAGTGGAGGAATAAGGTGCCGTTACTGTTGTCTCCTGCACCCTCCGAGCATGCAGACTTCAGGAACGTGAGGCGAATGATGAGCGACAAGCCGCGTTGAGGCGACGCACCGAGACTGGTACAGGTGAGCTGCATGCTGAAAGTATTCCTGCACTGATGACTTGTGGACAGCCAAGGATGAGAGCGAGAGCAAGGAGGGTGCGAAGGGAGAGGAGAAGAAGGAGGAGACGATGGAGGTGGAAGGCCAAGAGGAGATCGAGGAGACGGAGGATCTCTGGTCCACTTACGAGCTGACCGGAGTCATCACGCACAAGGTGACGACCCTAAACCCTAAACCCTCTCGTGGTGGAGAGAAGTGACGAGGCAGTAGGGGAGGACGGCGGACGGAGGGCACTACGTCGCCTGGATCAAGAAGGACTCGGGCAAGTGGTTTCTCTTCGATGACGCCAAGGTCTGCTCCTCTTAGCAATGACGTCTGAGCTTGAAACCGACTTGAACCTGACGACGTGATTGAGACTGACCGTCGGTCAGGTCTCGGAGATCGAGGCCGACGAGGTCAAGAAGCTCTACGGAGGAGGCGACTGGCACATGGCCTACATGTGCCTCTACAAGCGCGTTCGACGTCCTCTGGACGTGACGAAGTATGAGTGAGAGGAGCGAAGACTGGGTGAAGGAGGAGGGGGGGGGACAAAGAAAGAGCGGGTGGAGAAATAGTTTTTGTGTCGCAAGGTGCAAACAGATTCTCGACAAGATGTTAGTTATGTATTGGTTTCCTCCTACTCCCTATCCATTCACATCTAGTGGACGCGAGATAAGCTGGTTACCATGTAGAACGGATATAATACAATGCCTGGCAAGAGGTGGATAGGATCCTCCCTTTTCTGAAGGACATCTGTATGATACTCATGTCATCTCTATAGTGCTTACTTTCAAAACTGTTCTAGCTCAATTCATCCTTGTGTGAGGAAAAGAAAATATTTCTTCCTTGTGTCTCCGAAAATGCGGAGTCTGCTCAGAATTCTTCATTCTGTCTCTTGGCAAACATCCGCAAGATGCATCTTTGATTTGCCACGTCGAGTGATGGAGACCAAGCTCTATCGAATCTCGAGATTGTCCCAAGAAAGGCAATTTCAGTTCATTTTTATCATCAAGTTTTTCGTGCAAAAAAAGCAGGGATTGTTCAGCTCGTCTTCAACTTGGTTGGAATAATCTTTATTCCACGCCTCTTTGAAGGGTTTCTAGTTCTGAAAGGAACAAGCTTGAATGAAAGCTCTTAACCTTCAATCCTATCTCATGCTGATCTAAACAGCGTTGAGGAAGACCGAAGGCAAACGACGGTGAACCAAACAAACAGACCGATGGATTATACACAGACTGTCTTTGGGTCAGGAAATTAATGGTCCTCAACATACACGTCCGCATACTCATAGAGGAGATGCACGAGGTAGCACTTGATGCAGTCTGAGTTGAGGTTCGCAAGGACGTAGTGAGTTGAAGAGTCAGAAACATGTGTCATGAGAGTCTCGTTCTTGAGAGTCTTTCTGATCACTTCAACCAGGTCCGACACGTCGCGCTTGAAGGGGATGTAGTGCTCATACGGCTTGAGGTCTTGGTACCAGAACTCTTCGTTCTCTGACTCCTGCTTCAGTACGACGACGTTGCTTGCTAGGAAGTCCAGCAGGCGATCAGGAACTGAGTTGCCGTCAGGCACGACAATCATCCTGTACTTCCATTGCTCTGAGTGCTCGACGTGAGTTTCCGTGAGATATCCCTCATTCTCCATGACTTTGACAAGCTTCTCAGAGTCGTACTGCACGACGCGTGTGAAGCGAGCATCGAGTAGATCCGGGTGATCTAACGAGGCTTTGACGATCTTGCTCCTTGTGAAGTTCTTCCAATTGTTTAGCGTGTATACTCCACCAGTCGTGGTACCCCTGAAGAAAGCTTTGTTGATCTTTCTTTCCAAGGGGATGGTATTGTCCTTTGTCGCAGTGCCTAGGATATAGTCTGAGAACCCTTGCACTGATCGGGGGGTCGCTAGAATGCCTTTGCTAGACCTTGGCTTCTCTTGCACGAAGACAGGCAGGCAGACGTTCCTTGCATCCGGCAGGTTCACCCCCCCATACCCGTCATGAAAGAAGCCAATGAACTCCACGTCCGGCAGATCGACTTGTTGCGCTACCATAGCGATGTCTTGAATCAGCCCGTTGGTCACTCTGTTACTCTTTTCCCAGGGCGTTCCCTCGGCACCGTAGTAAGAGACATGGTTGTGTCGGATGCTGACGCCTATGTAATCTCGTTCCTCTCGCACGCTTCTCCTGATGGCTGACCTTGTCACTCGACCTCGACAAGCAGCAGAGCGATACAGAAGGATCGACTGATCAATGGCTGGATGCCGCCTGCAACGTTTCCAATGCAAGAATTCATTCTTGGACATTCGTGCCTTCATACTCCTTGATGGAGTGAGCAAAGGTCTGCCAGCTGTTAGCAGAGCTTGTCTGAAAGACATGACATTGAATAGGATAGACATAGCTGCAAGCAGAAGCATCAAGCACAGAAATTTCCCCTTGCGCCATAACATGTTAGAAGATTGTTACGATGTTGAGAAGCCAGAGGCTCGTGGGAAGGATCAAGTCCTCTCTCATCTCTCTCATCTCTCTCATCTCTCTCATCTTTCTCATCGCCATCGTCGATCCCAAGAAACTACCTCGAGCCTTCACGAGCCTGGCCAAGCGACGAGCCTCCTGAATGATAGGTAATAATTGCCATCGGGCGATTCATCAAAAAGGCTACGAATGTGAGCCAGCGGTCAAGGCCCGGTTTACAGCATTTGTGAACCGTGTGCGATTCTTGGAGATGAAATGCTGAGAAGAGAAGATCCTTTTACTCAAAGTTAACTCACCTCTCAATGTTATCTTGTTGTCTGTCTGTCGGTGAATTCATTCATGAGTTTGTGCATTTCTGGAACTCCAAATTCCAAATAAAGTTGAGACCTTAACAATATACAAGATCGTGTCAACAAATATGAGCTACTCTTACAGTTATATGACAGTCATGCATTGACAAAAATTGCTTACGTGGCGTGTTGACAAGTCAATGCTTGTCTCTCCTAGAACATGATGATTTCAAAACGATGACAACTATGTGAAGAAAAGTTTGCAAAAACTCTAGTCTCATGGTCGTAGCTCATACAGAAGCGACATTTCATTAAGATAGGCACGGTCCTCTCACTAGCACCAACATACGTGACTCGACAAGGCAAACATCTTGTATTTCATGCCGCACCTCTAATCTACTCGCTGTCGAGTTATAAGATCTACCTCTTGAGTCATTCTTGGAGTCAGACGTATCGATGCTCGAAGAAGCCCTGGTCATGGGGAGAAGGTCGAAGGATGACATCTCCGAATTCCAGCTCACTGTCAAGGTTGAAGTCAAGCAGAGATGCGATTGGAAGAGGAGGACGACGAAGTCGATCAGTCCTCCGAAAGTTTCTTCTCGCTCTGTGACAAGTCCATATGGTAGCTAACATCAGCGATGAAAGCACAACCGACCCGATCACAATCCCAGCAATGGCTCCAGCTGATAGAGAAGACGACATCAGAGCTATGCTGAAGTCTGTAGCGTTGGGGATGTTCCTTTGCGTGAAGGCAACATTGAGTCTGATCAAAGTCTGCGATGTATTCGCCTGGATGTCTTGGACGAATTTTACAGCTGAGTCAACTTTCAAGTCTGCTGAGTAGGAGAGAGACCGGGAAGAAGCTCTGCGAAGGTAGCGATCGGCTGCTGGTTGACTGACATCCGCCTGGCTGACTCTGAGCCCCTCGGCGATGGAGCTTCTGATCTCAGCCGTCTTGGAGTCGAAGAACAACCTAGTCATGGGCGAAATGATCTGAATCTGAACGTTGAAAGCTGACGCTGAGCTGACTTGGAAAGAAGGGAGCTGGGTAGGAGAAGGTGTGGTGGAGAGAACAACTGAGGATGATGATGAAGTGGAGGAGGAGAACATGGGCATCGGAGTAGAAGCAAGTGAGATCGAGGTAGTGGAGTTGACATGGGCTGTGGAGCCAGAGCCTATCGCATCAGAGGTATGAAATACTTGAGGAGATGGAGTGGAGGACGTGCTGGCAACATCAATCGGAGTCTGAGTAGACGAGGAGAGAACGAGAGAAGGCAAAGTAGACATGGTCGTTGTCAGAGTCGTCATGGATGATGGTGACGTGGCAGGTGGAGCAGCCCCGAGGGGCACAAACCCAGAGAAGTGGTCGATCTGAGCCTCCAGGACCGGAGGAGTAGCCGTTGGCTTCGCCGTCGTGACCTGCCGCTCCCATGGATCTGCCGCCATCGCGTTGTAGTAGAACAGGTACCCCTCCAGCCCAGCTGGGATCAGGCTGGGGTCATACGGCGAGCTGATGGTGATGTACTTGTTGAACTTCAACCCTGCCGGAGAGAAGATAAGGACAGGTCCAGCTGGAACGAGCCTCTCCGTGGCCCCTTGGCTCACGTTGAGGTCTGAGACGTTGTACACGGATACGCTGATAGACTGAGAGCCCGCCACAGCCCCAGCAGGGAGCACCACCGACAGCCCTCCTGATCCTTGGATCTTCGTCTCCTTATCGGACGAGACCGTCGCCGTCTGAGTCTCGGCTGGCGCTCCCAACGTCTGCGAGCAGCCCGGGCCGAACTGGCCGGACATGCACACGCAGTGATGGCTCGAGACCAGCCCATAGCACTCGAACTGACAGGAGGAGCCATAGAGAGCCAGCCCCCCGCTGCTCTCCCCGCAGACACTCGGCAGAAGCGACGTTGCCCCTAGACCCCTCGCAAGAGAGGCGTTGAAGACTCGGTAGGAGGGGGCGAAGCTGACGCACCCCAAGCACTCAGCTCCTAGCAAGACTGGCTCCCGGGGATAGGGAGGGTTCTGTACAGTCACAGTGAAGGAGGCGGAGCTAACCTGGCTCGTCACAAACAGGGTCAGCCTCCCCTCGCTTGCCGACCAGACGGCCTGCTGCAAGATGTCCCCGCCTGACACTGAGACGAACTGAGAGTCCCCGCTGATGGAGACGTTGAGGCCTATGATGGAGAAGTTGCTGCCGGCTCTGAGAGGGAAGTTGGAGGTCAGCAAGATCGTCAGCGTGTTTGTCATCCCCGCGTACTTGGCTCCGCTCAGCACAAACAACCCGGTCCATCGCGGCCTCACGGTCAAGGAGCAGAGAGAGGCGGCAGGACTGGCAGAAGTGACATTTGAGGTTGTTGACCCTACCGGATCTTCAAGTCTGCTGCAGTTCCAGTAGGGCTCGATGGTACAAGCCGAGCTGCATCCATCGAGGCTCAAAGAGTTGCCATCATCACAAGCTTCGGTATGCTCCAGCACACCATTGCCGCAATTTGAAGGTAGAGGAGTGCTTGCAAGCTCGCCGTTCACTGAGGATGCTGCTGGTGAAATGATCGTTGAAGACACTTGGAAAGCTTCGCTGGAGGGAGGAAGGAGGAGAGAGCTAGTGGAAAACGACTGTAATGGCGGTGTAGTAGAGGAAGGTGTAGAAGAAAGGGAAAGCAACGGAACCGAAGTACTGAATGGAGAAGACTCATACGATGAGTTGGTAGAGGAAGGAGATATAGGAAGGGGGGTACTCGAGGAAGGCTGTTCATACATGGCAGTAGAGGAAGGAGATATAGGAAGGGGGGTACTAGAGGAAGGCTGTTCATACATGGCAGTAGAGGAAGGAGATATAGGAAGGGGGGTACTCGAGGAAGGCTGTTCATACATGGCAGTAGAGGAAGGAGATAGAGGAAGGGGGGTACTCGAGGAAGGCTGTTCATACATGGCAGTAGAGGAAGGAGATATAGGAAGGGGGGTACTCGAGGATGAGGACTCAGGAAGGGGGGTACTCGAGGATGAGGACTCAGGAAGGGGGGTACTCGAGGAAGGCTGTTCATACATGGCGGTAGAGGAAGGAGATAGAGGAAGGGGGGTACTCGAGGAAGGCTGTTCATACATGGCAGTAGAGGAAGGAGATAGAGGAAGGGGGGTACTCGAGGATGAGGACTCAGGAAGGGGGGTACTCGAGGATGAGGACTCAGGAAGGGGGGTACTCGAGGATGAGGACTCAGGAAGGGGGGTACTCGAGGATGAGGACTCAGGAAGGGGGGTACTCGAGGATGAGGACTCGGGAAGGGGGGTACTCGAGGATGAGGACTCATAAGGGCTGGAAGAGGAAGAAGAGAAGAGGGAAGATGTATCAGAGGGAGACTCATATGGTGGGCTAGATGAAGAGGAAGAGGCTGAGATGGTGCTAGAGGTACTCTCATAAGAAGCGCTGGAAGAGGAGACAGGAAGAGAAGCACTAGAGGAAGACGAGGAGAAAGAAAGGGGAGTGCTGGAGGAAGAAGACTCAGCAGCATAGCTGGATAATGCAGCGGTAGTAACAAGTTCAAAGCTGAGGATGAGGATGCTTTGAACGCTTAGCCCGTTCCTTGTGTGCAGGAAAGCTTGGACTTTCTTTCTTCTTCGCTTCGGCTGATCCTCCATGGCTATCGACAAGCTTCTATCCCTTCTTCTCCCTCCGCTCCTTTCCCACCATCCTGTACGTTTGGATGATTCTCAGCCCCACCTCTTCAAGGCAGCAGGGAAAGATATAAGCATTCCTACGAGAGGATAAATACTGCCTTTCTATGAAAGCCTATTCGATTCTGAGGTGGGTAGTGTGGTAATTTGGTCTTCTCATTGCAGAAGTGAGCCACTGATCGGATCGTGACTCGCCGCCGGGCCCGGCAAGTCACTCCGTGTGCCACTGTGCCGGCCCGTCCCGGGTTGTACGACAGCAGGCAGCCTTCAAGCCTTTTGGGGTGGCAACAGGGTAGGCTTGGTGAACTGCTGCCCAGCTGCCACTCAGGCTCCGAGGCCTCTCAGAGCCTCGGAGGCTCTATGTCTCCCTCCGAGGCGGATTTGTCTCTATCTCCCGAGGCCCTCATCCCCCTACCTGGCAAAACCTGGCGGACTGAAAATTGCGATCCAGTGGATTTATAGCTGAGTTCATGGCGAAGCAGCAGGACCTACTATGAGAGGATGGTTGTTGTCGCTGCTGCTGCTCTCCCTGTCTCTTCACCTCATGCTTTGGAGCAGCTTCCCTCATCCCGAAGCCAGCTTCAGCCTCAAGAGCTTGACTCGCTCCAAGCCCAAGCCCAGCAAGAGCTTCTGCATTGTGAATCACTCGCGGTATACTTGCACGTCGTTCGAGCATGTGCAGGTGGAAACAAGGTTGGACAGTGGACCTCCAAACTGCCTCGGAGGACTGGAGTCATGGGGCATCTGTGACAGAGGAGAGTTTCTATGCCTAAGCATGCTTGTACACGATTCTGGGCCCAGGTGCTCTATAAGGTGGGGTTTCCACACAACTGAGTATTCGTGCACGCCCGCCCCGTTCGCATGCTCCACGCACTGTCTGTCTGAAGAAGCAAGCTACGGGATCTGCAGACACAATCAAATCCTGTGCAAGATTCACGATGTGCGACATCTACCTCCGGCAGATCGAATCGTTCGTCATTCCTGCATCGGCAGTAGTTGCTTACTGCAGGATGTCTTCTACAACCTCCAGTGGAGTCAGCGTTTCAATGAAAGTTTGTCATTCGGCTGTTTAGCTCAGTGGAATGAGGAGATGTCTAAGTTTGAGTGCAAGTTACCAGGCGATCGAATGGATGAAACTTCACATGCAGCTTCTCCTGGTTCTCATCAGACCTCCTTTGTCAGCGACTGTCCGGGGATCAGAGACATGAGACATGCAAGGGCTTCCAATAGAGTAGATGTTGTTGCAACGATCGATGATGGCCAGAGCGTCTCATGTGCACAAACTGTGAATGTTACAGCATACCTCGTATACTTCGATGGCTGGAACCCGTTTCACCAGATGTTGCAGTCGTTTCGAAACATTTTCGCAGGGTGGGTCTCGTTCTCGAGCTTGATTGAATCAGATCGATTCGATCCCAGCAGGTCAGGCAAGGCCGGCGGCCTCGTTCCTGCGAGATCAGATTGCGTGTTTGTCACACGCGACCAGGAGATGAAGGAGCTGGGACCTTTCGGACGCGGCATCATCCCGTTGCTGTGCAGGCGAGGCGTGCTGTCGTTGCTCAACTTTGGAAACTCGAGTGAGTCCGTGTGCTTCAAGAACATCGTCGTTGGAGTCACAGCTGGGGGTTGGGACATGGAGGTTGGCAGGAGGGAAGCAGTGGAAGTCAGCTTGAGTGGAGTCCTCCTCAGTTCTTGGGTCAAGTCCAGGCTTGGAATCCCCCTTCAGTCCGGGGCGCTTGAGGGAAGCAGAGAAGGTAACGTACTATTCTTGGTGCGACATGGCCGGAGGGAGATTGTCAACGAGTACAATGTGACAAGTCAGTTGAGGGGACTAGATCATATCAATCTCTCTGTGCATGATTTCGACAGGGAAACTTTCATGGAGATATTGCGATCTGTTTCAGAAGCTGACATCTTTATGGGTGTGCATGGAGCTGGACTTGCCAATCTTGTGTGGCTTCGACCGAAGAGGATGGTTATCGAGCTGATGGTTGGCTGGCCGAGACCTGATTACTTTCAGATGTGCGCGTCTTTCGGTCAGTATCACACGGACTACACGCGGACTAGCTTGAAGCGACCTGAGAGCCCAGACTGGGAACTTCATGATGCCAGGGACTATCTGGTGTTGGTGGACGATATTCCCCTACTGCTTGAGACAGTCGTTGAGGGATTAAACTCAACCATGTCACCACGAGATGTTGAACCACTGCCAATGTGACTTTTGACCTTTCAAATGCTTGAAAACATGTACTGATAAGCTACTCGAAAGATTTTTATTGTTTCGTTCACTCTACCAAAGTCAAGGATCCCTTTCAAGAAGAGCAGGAAACGGAAGACTCAAAAAAAATGTCTTTCCACTGCCTTCAATAATTCCCCAATAGGTTTTGAAAAGATTCATCATTAAAGCTATCTTGCACTGTTCTCATAGCACAGTCTTAACGCGTACAATGAAGCAATAAATCAAAGATTACAGAACGCATTTTTGTCTTCAGGAGGAGCAACAGGTCTCTCGAGAAAGCTGGAATAGACTTCCAACAACTCTGCCCAGTAACAATCAACTGCTCTTTGACTCAAAACTTTCTGAACAAGCAGTTTTCCGTTCTTGGCGATTCTTGCCAACCTTGAAGCATTCTTAAGCTCTCGTTCCAGCGTTTCTTCGAGGTCAGAAATGTCCGACTTAACGAGAATGATATTCTCTCCATGCCGTAGAGAAGAATACCAGTGCTCTATCCGTTCAGTGAGCTGCTTCACGATCGCGCTGTTCCCATTCATTTGTGTCGGCAGTCGATCTGGCACGACATTTCCATCAACAACCACTATGATTTGGTAGTTGAATTGATCGGCATGTGGCAGCCAGTGCCCTGTCATCCCTGCTGCCTTCATTTCCTTGAACGTTTCTTCCCTGTCGATCTGTGCTCGTAGGTTTGTGAACCCGGCATCCAAGAGTTCGGGTCGCTTTCTGCTGAGCATCACTACCTTGGACCTGACCTGTTCTCTCCAATTCTTCTTCGTATACAAAGCGCCAGTAGTGGATCCCCGCCAAACGGCCTTGTTGAGCTTTTTGGACCAGGGGACCTCAAAGCTTGTGAAAAGGGACGTTCTGAATTCATGAGACATGGACGACCGAGAAGGAGCAAGGACAGCGTTAGCCGATGGCCACATGTCCTGTACGAAGACAGGGACATTGAAGCTCTCCGTTGGCGTTTTCAGTGGCCAAGCATGTTCAGGCACTCCATCTCCAACATGCATGACGAAATCAACATCGGGCAGACTAACGCGCTGCAGCAAATTGTCAAGATACTTGAGAACTTCCTGAGCTCGACCTCTGTCTGTTACGGCATCATAGTTTCGCACATACAAGACATTGCTTACGATGGTTATTCTGATGGTGTAAAGATTCTTCGAGAAATTTACATATGAAGAGAGCATGTGATGAGTTATGGGCCTCCCCTGGAACTCAGAAGTGAGAAAACTCTTTGCAACATTCACGTAATGTTCCGGTTTGCACTCGTTGACTCTGATAAAGTCCAGATAGGATTGCAAGAGGGCCTGAGGTGGTAAATTGCATGGATGCTCACAAAGATGTCTGTCTTCACCGCAGACTAGTTTGCTGGCTGGATAACCATGACAGCGCTTATGTTTTGAGTTCACACAGTGATAGTGAAGACCTTGAATCTTGCAGAAGTTGTTGCCTGCTGCTTCACCTCCAACATAAGGAACTCCAGAGGGAGCTTTAGGCTCCTTACAAACTACTGCGGACCCGTTACAGACTATTGGGATTGCCAGACAGTCGTCATTGACGTTGTTCTGCACGCCTGTGACGAGAGTCTGAGCGTTATCGTCTTTGCAGGAGTACAATGATGCTGCAATGCGGCAGTAGGACTTGTCATCTCTAGTGTCAGCAAAGACAAGGCCCATTTCTTCTTCGACTAATCTTCCCAGCAGGACATCAAGGAATCTCGGACAAAGCTGAGAGATGGTAGAGGACGTAAAGATCATGTTCTCAACAGGTTGAGATGATCTAGAATGCAAGACACACCGTCTGACCCGATCCCTGTCACTGATATTCAATGCAAACCCAATGATAGGCTTAATCCGGCTGAATTCTAGCTTCGAATTCAAAGATTTTCCATTGAAATGAAAACTGATCGCCTGCTGTTTTGTGTACGAGTCGGTGAGACATGATGTTTTCCCCTTCTTAGTTCCTTCACACTCAGCGAGATCCGTGGGTACGTGAAGAGATCTAATTGGATCTTGTCCCTCGCAATTGATCATGGTTCGCATGATTTCTGCTGCACTGTCTACTTTACATCGTACTCCCATGTTTTCTGCTGAGAATGTGCCATTTCCGAAGCAGTACTCCATGAATGCACCTTGATCTGTTGTCGGCCAATCTCCACCATTCTCATCAATCATCGCCATCAGACCTGTTAGAAACAATCTCAAGGTCTTCGCTCTTCCTATGAATTGACCAGAGTTGAGATACTTATGCGGTCCAGCCCTTCCGAACAAACTCGCTTGCAGCTGACATAAAGGAGCTATCCTTGGAAAGCAATTGCATTCGCCATTGAAGAGAATTTCATTCGCGTTGACGTCGAAAGCCTTTGCGGATTCAATGTCGGATGGCTCTACCCCGTTGGTCACGAACACATCGAAAGCGTCCTGAAACCATACGATGTGCTGTGCAGGAAAAGTTTCGATGAGTTGTAACAGGCTTCTTGGCTTATCCGAGAATCTAAACGATCTCACTCTGACGTGCATTGCCTCATGGCCATTCACCATCCTCGTGGCATGAGCAGCGCACAACATGAAAGAATCAAACCAGTGCTTCGGGTCACTACCCACGGAAACTGTTGTGATGCCTCGGCTCAATGGCGGATCCCGACATGTGCTAGGAGATGTCGCGATCCTGGAGAAGCTCTGGATGGCCTCTGGTCCAAGCTGACCAGCTGCGAGAACTTCACATGAGTTGTTCTTCCAAAACCGCTGCTCGTCGTCTCCGAGTCTTTCTCTAGTCTTGAGTACCCTGCAGCCATTCATGATGGGTCGGACGGTCTCGAGGCAAAGAAACTTCCCCTCTGAGCACGTCCCCCAACTATGTTTCCCTCCCTTGCACATCAAGTGCGGAGATGGAGTTTCCGGGGTGTCAACGACGAATCCTTCCACTGTGATGCACGTGTACACCCTCCCCTCCATGCGACAGGTCTGCGACCCGGGCATGGCGTGTTGCTGTTTGCAGTGCTGGGAGAAAGTGAATCGAGGAAGATACAGGAAGGAGAGGAGGAAGGAGAGGAGGAAGGAGAGGACTAGCATGATCCCCAAGCATCGCCGAGCTCCTCGCACTCTCCTCCTCCTCATCGAGCTCTCTACCAACAAGTAGGTTTCTACCGCCCAACAAGTCACTCAGGGAAAGCCATGTAGAAAAATAAATCCGCCTCAGAATAATATTAGGAAAAGAGAAGAGGCAGTTCTCAATTCCGAACTTGTGTACTAAGACACGGCAATTGGCGGCCAGATCGATGTACGAAGTTCCTCGGGAGCTCGGGATCGAGATCTGGCTCTAGGAGAGGAGAGGTTGACAACTTCCTCTGTGAGATCATCGGAACCAGAACCAGGATCTTGTGCGCATGGCGGGGCATCAGCAAAGCGAGTGAGACTGTTGCTCGCGATGTCTTGGTCAGGCGCTGCCGCAAGGAGAGGTGCATGTGGTGGTGGCCATGCGAGACGCGTCGCCTACGATGAGGGTGGTAGAGGACGTTGCTCTGATGGGCTTGACCAACAGCCTCGTGCTTCTCTACCGGCGAGCAGACGCCGTGTACCTTGTGTACATGGTGGAGTACTACGACGAGCTTCCTTGCATGACGGTCTTCATACACGATCACGTGTTCGGCAGCTGGCACAGTCAGCTGAGGCCAATGTTCAAGAGAGCTCGGGCCTTCTACCTCCTCATGGCAGCGCGTCTAAGAGATGGAAAGAGCGGCGCGCTTGTGCATCCCGAGCTCCAGACGTTCCCTTCCTACTCGACGCTTGCTGGCTTCACAGACAACGCCGTGACTTTGAACAGCTGCTACTGCCACGAGCATAGAGAGCCGCTGTGCTGGGGGGGATACAATCTCAACGACTACGAGCGAGAGACGAACAGATCTCTTCATAACATGACCGGTCAAGACTCGCTCGACAGGATCTATCAAGCTGTGATCTCACTACCGGAGCGATGGAAGTCTCGGAGGGGTCGGTGGCTTGTATGGGAAGAGCCTCATCAGGTATTCCAGCAGTCCGAGAGGCTCTTCGGATCCTTACATGCAAGACTGGGGCGAGCAAAGAGTTGGAGGTCGATCCCGTTTGCGTCATGCTGTGCGATGTTCATAGCGCAGAGGAAGCACATAAGAAGACAGCCGAAGCAGTTGTACAAGGAGAGCTTGTCCGCGCTTCTGTCGACTCACCTCCTCCCTCACCACACCGGTCGATGGTTCGAGTTCAACTGGGACAACCTGCTCTTCGATCCGTCAGGGTCGCTGGATGCCTCGAGAAGACGTCTGTACGTGGACATCGATGACGTTTACGCGCAAGTCTTCAACGAGACCAACGCGGTCGCTGATCTACAGGAGCTCATCGACTCATGACATCTAGCCTCTGTCTGTCTGTCTGTCTGTCGCTCAGACAGGCCTGTGGTGTCGTCTGGGGATGACCCAGTAGCTTTGAAGCAGGCAAAGTCTAGCAGGCAAGCTGACTACAAGCATGGGAGGAGGTCGACACCATGAGTCGTCGCAGGCACGGAGGAAGCTGGCAGGAGGGGAGAGCACAGGATAGAGGAAGCATGAGAATAGACGAGGGCACTAGAGTAGTTTAACAGGAGGGGTTGGAACTGACTAGCTCACGTCGGTTTAGAGTAGAGTGACTTTGTTGTCACGGTTGTTTCAATACATCTTCCTTGGTGGGTGTGTAATAGCTGAGCTGTAGGCTACTGCTGGTCTTAGCACAAGTCGTGTACTCGATGCAACAAGCCCACCACTCTGATAGAGGCACGCTTGCTGAGGGTCGAAGCCTTCGATCTCACTGGCGAGCTGAATTGCAGGTCAACAAAAGCTTTTCAAATCACCAAGCGAAGCATGGTTTAGTAGACAGCAAGCTCAACAAACAAGCTCAACACAAATGCTTCTAATAGACGATAAGGCAGTCATTTAAAACAAGCTCAACACATATGCTTCTAACAGACGATAAGGCAGCCATTTAAAACAAGCTCAACACAAATGCTTCTAATAGACGATAAGGCAGTCATTTAAAACAAGCTCAACACAAATGCCCCTCATGCACAACTCTAGACGGTCTTGCTGCTGCCTGTCTTCATTCAGACAAGTTGCCATTGATTGGATTAACTTTGAGTAAAGATTGGAGGACTGACCGTTACAATCTCGGTTTCACTGCTGGTCACTGAGAAACTGCGCCCGGGGCCCGGATCATTTTTTGAATTTTGATATTATGGGAGTCATAGTAAGATATATCCAAAATATCAGAGAGAGAAAACTAAATTCGGGTCCGTGTGACGAACCCCTTTATATCACGACATGGCGACGATTGAGGAAGTAAGGGAGGAGAGGGAGAGAGAGAGGCAGGGTGGAGGAGACGGAGGAGACGGAGGAATGGGAGGGAGGGAGAGGAAGAGGGAGGAGACGGAAGGAGACGGGAGAGGGATGGAGAGGGAGGGAAGGAGGAGGGAGGAGGGAGGGAGGAGTTAGGGGGGGCGATGGAGAGGGAGGAGGAGGAGAGACAAGGGAGTTGGAGGGATAGACAAAATGAGATTGGTCGTGATGGAGGATTGAACCGATGAGAAGCCCAAGGACAAGCAAAGGGGGCGAGAGGGGAGAACAAAACGGGAGTTTACAGCACAATGACTGATCGAATGTTTCAGGTGATTGTGTTAGGAGCAAGTGGAGGGTTTGGAACACTCTTCTCTCAGGTGAGCAAGAAGACATTGAACAGAAGGCAGTGTTGATGAAGGAGATGGTGATGGAGTTTGAACATTATGTGTCCAACTTCATAGTCGATCTGCTCTCACTCTTCCTCTATCCTGTTGCATCCCTCCTGGCACGAACTCTTATTGCTCATCTCAGGTATTGAGCAAGTCAGGAATCAAAGTGAGAGGAATCTCGAGGAAGGGCTCCCCCAGGTTCCCTCCCTCCATCAGACCCTCTCCTTCAAATCCTCTCTCTTCCTTCTAACCTTGTTCTCCCTTCTCCTTTGTTGAAGCTGCTATCCCCCTCCTCACTCGGCCTTTCTTCATCCTCGTCGTCCCTCTCCTCCAACTACTTCTCTCCCTTCACTTCTCTCTGCTCTCCTTACACTCTTCCTCAGGTCCGATGCTTGCTTCAACGACTACCTGTCAGCTGATCCCTGCGACCCCAAGGATGCGGTGAGATCTATTGTCCACCTATGCGCCAGCTGAGGCAGGTGCAAGGTGATCGAGAGGGTGAGGTCTGCTTCTGTCATCATCAGCTGCCTTCCTCCTGGGCCCTGCGTGAGGGCGCTAGAGGTGAGACAGGAGCAGAAGCCAAGAGCTGGAGGGAGAAGAGGGAAGCATGACGGACAGACAAATGATAGAGAGACTGAGATGTCCGCAGTACGTGAGAAGAGAGAGAGTGAGACAACAGCAAGAGGCAGAAGTAGGAAGGATATGACATTATCGAAGGGTGAGGAGGATTGATTAGGGAGGAGGTGAAAGGAAAGGCTATATCAGATGGTGAGGTGCGAGCTGATCGTAACGCAGGCTCTTGCTCCTCACATGGCGTCCGGCGCTCTCTTCACAGACGTTCTCTCCGTCAAGTCTGGCATCTGCAGCGCGTGAGTGAGGCGGGCGCGTCAGAATCTCTTGACGATCCTGGCAGGTACTCGGAGCTGAAAGACAAGTACCCGCACATTGAGCTGCTCAGTGTTCACCCGATGTTCGCTCCTGCTGCAGGTAAGAAGCAGCTGGGAGCGAGCAAGAAGACGTGGGGTTGACTGCTGGTGCAGGATGGCAAGGGCAGAACACAGTCTCGATTCACATCCGCACGGCAGGAAGGAGCAAGGCGTTCGAGGCACTGATCGAATCATGGTAGATGGAGGAAGGGGTGATGATGAGTGTGTTGGTGGTGGTGGTGATGATGATGATGATGATGATGGTGGTGGTGGTGGTGCTGGAGTGATGGAGGTTGTGAGTCAGTGCATGCGTGCATGTGTGTGTGTGTGTGTGTGTGTGTGTGTGTGTGTGTGAATGGGCGGAAGGAAACTCCTACCTGTACTCACCTTGCCGCAGGGGATCGACTATCGTGCCGATGGAAAGTGGAGAGCTGCATGATCGTGTGACATCCGCGGTTTGCTACTCTCATCTCCTCCTCCTCCCCTCCTCCTCCTCCTCCTTTCCTCTTCCTCCTCCACCTGGTCCTCCTCCTCTTCACTTCCACCACCTCCTCTTCCTCCTCCTCCTCCTCCACCACCACCACCTCCTCCTCCTCCTCCTCCTCCTCCCATCCTCCTCCTCCTATCCTCCTCCTATCCTCCTCCTCCTATCCTCCTCCTCCTATCCTCCTCCTCCTGCCTCCTCCTCCTCCTCACATCAAAATTGTCATCCTGCCCCTCCTCTTCTTTCTCCCTATCCCCCTCATACATCCCAATTCTTTGACTTTGCTGCAGGTTCAAAATGCAACTCATGCTGCCCTGATAACCTTTGGACTTACCCTGAAGAAGGTGGAAAGAGGAAGGAGAAACAGGAGGGAATAGGAAGGAGCGAGGGATGAGAACAAGTGCGATTGGTTGCGGATGGGTCGAGAGGCAGGAGAAAGGGAGGAGGAGGAGGAGGAGGAGGAGGAGAGGGTTGACCGGGTTGGAGCCGGAGGTGACGACTCGAGTCAGATGGGCTACGACGCGGGGCTGGCGAAGAAGATCTCGACGCCTCCTCATCGCGCCATGATCGCGGTGATTCAGAGGATGGCGAGCATCAACGAGCCCGATACCTACTGGGACATCCAGACTGAGAACCCGTGAGCTCTCCCTTATCCTCCCCCCCTCCCTCTTCGTCCCCCCCTCCCTCTTCCTCCCTCTCTCCCTCATCCTCCTCCCCTCCCTCCCCTCATCCTCCCTCTTTTCGTCCATTTTCCGGTGGACCTTCCCTCCCTTTCTCATCCTCCCTCTTTCTCTCCCTTTGTCCTGATCCCCTTCCCTCCCTCCACTCCTTCCTCCCTTCCTTCCTCCTGATCCCTCCCTCCCTCCCTCATCCCCCTTCCTTCCTCCCTCATCCTTCCTCCCTTCTCCCTGATCCCTCCATCCCTCTTGCTCCTTTTCTTCCTCCCTTCCCCGCCCTTCCTTGCTCCCTCCTCTCCCTTCCTCCCTCCTGCGCTCTTGCTCCCTTCTGCTCGGACTTATTCTTCTCCTCAGCAATGCGGCTTCGACATGGCAGCACTTGCAAGAAGCAGTGGAGGAGGTGAGAGGAGCAGTTGAAGAGAAGAGACGGTGAGTTCAGACCCCTGCTGCTCGTTCCTCGCACTTGATGATCGCCCTTCCTTATTCCTCCTCCTCCTCCTCATCCTTGCGACGCAGCGACGCCTTCTGCAACATCATCGCGGACTTCAAGCCCCTATTAGGTGAGGAAACTCTCGCTTGCTCTAGCTCAGCCTCACCATGGCGAGCAGAAGCTGCCAACGCTGAGAGTTCCTGCGAGTCTCCTTACTAGCCTACCGGGCCAGCGACAGACCCTCTTGCTCGCCTTGGGATACTATCATAAATTTTGACTGCTGCTGTTGAGCGAGTAAACAGATTCTCACAGTGACTCCGTGGTATGACTGGAAGTAGCCGAGTAAACTTTGATGCAGCCCCCCTCAGCCCCGTCGTGCTCAGAGGCCGCGCCGTGCAGCCGGGCCCGGGCCCCGGGGCCCGAAGCAGGCCGGGCCCGCCAGTGCTACGGCCCGGCCCCCCGATTGGTCATCAACCGGCCGCTTGGACCGGCCCGGGGGCAGTTTTGCCAGTCACTGAATTGTGTACGCCGACGGTAGGTCCACAGACATGTAACGGTGAAGAAACGGAAAAGACAGCTATCGACAAGGGCATGCAGTCGCGGCGGGCGTGCGTGCTGGGGCTGGCAGGTCTGGCGCTGCTGTTCCCCCTGTACCTGTGCCTGATCATCCCCTTGTACCGCCCGCATGTGCGATCAGTGACGAGCAAGTCCGAGAAAGTTCGGCTGGTTGTGTCCGTGAGCTCGCTCCTGGGGCGAGTTGACTTCCTGCGACGATCGCTGACGTCGATGAAGAAGCAGTCGCTGAGACCCGACAGAATCATGGTCAACATCCCTCTCTACACTCGGTTCGGCAACATTACATCCCAGGACATCGAGGCCTTGGTCCATGCATTGACGCCCACCACCGGCTCTCTCGAGATGGTGCCGGGCAGCAGTCACGATTACAAGAACCAACTCTTCTACCTGCACTTCCTCAACAGAGACTTCGGTCCTGCCACCAAGTTGTTGGGAGCTCTGCAGGTGGAGAAAGACCCGGAGACCATGATCATTACCCTGGACGATGATTGCGAGTACCCGCAGCAAGTCGTCGCCTCCCTTGCCTACCACATGCCTTCCGAGGGGTGTCTGAGTGGCCTCTGCCAGGAGCTGCCTGCTCTCATGCCCATTCATGGTATGGTGACTCTCGGGTTTCCTCATGGGATCCTCGCAACAGCAGGCTGGTACTCGCAGGATAGGATCATTCCCTGCTACGGTTGGCTCATGGGGTACACGGGAATTGCGTACCGGGTCCGGTACTTCGGCGATGACATCTTCGAGTACTTGAAGAGACTCCCGTCGGGTTGTTTCTTTCATGACGACGTCTGGCTTTCAGGGTACCTCTACAAGAAGGGGATTCAACGATACTACTACCCCTTCGTCCCGGATCCAATGCATTTCATGAAGCACCCGAACATGAGCATTAGTTCAATCTCAGACACTCAGTCCCGACATCAGCTGCCTTGTGTTGAATACTTCGATCGATTTGGATGGAACTGAGCAAGTCAAGATTTCTACAGGCAGCACGAGTGTTTCAGATCCTCCCCAACTTTCCTCCTTGCAATCGTTTCAACAGTCTCGTTGCTCTGCGCGGCCCGTAACCCTTCCCTTCTCCTTGATTTTCATTCTAGCCTAGTGACTGCGTTGGATTCTTCTTATCGTTTGCTTGTGCTCACTGCTTCTTGCCCTGACATCCCAACCAAGATCGAACAAACAAGATGATACTCTCGATGTCAAGAAGTTCTTTGTCATACAGGAACCTGCTTTGCTCAAACAACTATTCTTTTCTTTGAAGTTCATTTAAGTTGCTGTCAATAAAAGAATTCGTTGTGAAAATCGTCAATGAAAGAAATCCTTATGAAAATCTAGCCTTGCACCTCACAAAGCAAAGTCTCAACGAGGATTTAACATGAACATGTTAACCACCCTCCATCTTGGTCAGAGGTCGTACATCGCAGCTTGCTCAAGGGACCTCGCTTTCAGCACCATTGTTGGAACCTCTATCACATGGTTCATTACACATATCTCAATGATCCAGGTGACCAACATGCAGACTCTTATTGTTTTTCGAAAACTTACAACTTACAACTATCACACTAGTCAGGCAAGACTTACCGGGATATTTATCGAGTAGCGGAGATGTAAACAAGACGGATCTGCATACAACAACTCCATCGGGGAGACGAACATCTATTCACGCTGTCGACAACGAGCTTGCAGGAGGAGTACGTCGAGGAGAGAGGGATGGCAGTGATGGACTTGCTGCCCCGCAGCTCCGGTCTTGTGAGGTAGCATGCGCACAAGCTTCCTCTTTCTCTTCCTTTCCATTGTCACACCCCGGGGCAGCTCTAAGTAATGTGACGTCATTTACTACGGCAGCACTGGAGTCAGAATGTCCCGAGTCCGTGTGTTGTCAGTCCCATCGGACCAGTAGCGAAGGCTACCAAAGTTGCGAACGATGGCGACAAGCTCACCTCGGAGGCACCGTGCAGGCATGGCCGCAGCTCAGTGCTGAAATGTTCAAGTTTGAGAGAGACAATCATCAGCGGGCGACTTTGGGAATACCGGTGCTAAAATGGGTTAGAGGTTGCTTGCTCTCAGCGATGGAGGTGCAGCATGAAGCATTTCCATCTCATTCAGGACATCTGAGGCGGATCCTACACTTCCTTCAAGGACAAAAGGCTTGAAAGCATAAGAGAGTTGAGGAAGAATTTCATTATCATCGGTTAGGATCTGCGTTCTGAGTGTTGCCTTCTGCATGCTGCTTCAAAACTTGCTTCCGAAAATTTTCTGCGGCGAGTTTAGATTTGTTCAGAGGTAGCATGCGGAAAGAAGGAGGGAGGGAGGGAGGGAGGGAGGGGAGGGAGGGAGGGAGGGAGGGAGGGAGGGAGGAGGGAGGAGGGAGGGAGGGAGGA